GGAAGACAGAATTTTGAGATGTGCCAGATTGGTGGCTTAAGAATAGCTATGTATAGTACATAGGTCTGCATAGGTGACCTGAGGCCATGCCTAGTTGGAGCTCATCTTTTTGTGCCTAAATAGGATAATATTCTTCCAATTTTTGCCATGTAATATTTTTAGGCTTATGTTACACACCTTCCAATTTTTAAAAGAAAGTAGAACTGTACATTTAAATATCAAACTCAATTTAAAAATATATCTTAAAAATATGAAAATACAGGCCAAACAAAGTGTTCCTGTAAGACTGATTTACCCTATATGCCACCTAGATGAGCTTTGTAGCCTAGGAACTTGAGGTTTTGAATGGCCCCTTGTCAGTGAGATAGAACAAACACAAAATTTCTTAGCAGAATCTCATAACTTCCTAAGATTCCCTCAGTCTATTCCCTCAGCTTCAAGTACATTAGGGTAATACATGAAGTCCAACACAGATTGCCTGTATTCCAGATCATTTCATTGTCAGGATGTGAAATCTAGAAGAATTTTGGAGACTACAAAGTGTTGAGAGTAATTGAAACATAGGGTCCTGGGGGTTATTCTGAACTTAGTGAGGCTGACAAGGCCTAGACCAGGAAGGATCTCCAGTTACTTTTGAATGGGCCTGCAATACCATGGGAAGCAGTTAAAGAATTGTAAAAGCTGCCTATTGTACAGATCATTCTGGTAATGCTTGGCATATGGGCTCTGTGATGGCTATTCTTGGTTGTCAACTTGACTACATCTAGAAATAATTAAACCCTCAAGCCTCTGGGCACACCTATGAGGGATTTTTAGTTAATTGGATCATTTGAGGTAGGAAGACCCACCTTAGATCCATTGTCACTTGAGGTCAGAAGACCTACCTTTAATCTGAGCCACCCCTTCTCTTGGCAGCCTATATGAAGGACAAGGAAGAAAGCTTTTGCTCTTTGCCTACTTGCTCTCACTCTCACATCCCTTGAACCTACTTTGGGATTCTGACATATATTGAAGTCCAGCTAAGACATCCACCCTCATGGACTGAACAACTACTAGATTCTTGGACTTTCCATTTGGGAGACAGCCATTGTTAGACTGGACCACAGCCTGTAAGCCATTCTAATAATCCCCTTTTACACACACACACACACACACACACACACACACACACACACACACACACACACACCTAGGTGCTCTTCTTCATTGTAGATCTTCACAAGAGTGATTTCTAATAATCACATGACACAGTCAATATCAGGCTTTCTTGAAATCTCCTCTGCTGACACCATCAATCCAAAGCTCTTCAAAATATCCTCCAGCAATTTTTTACTACAAGGGTAAAAAGCAGGCACATTCTTGCCAAAATATCACAAGAATGGTCTCTAGGCCACTTATCTGTATTCTTCCCCCAAACTTTCCCCAGTCCCAGAATGCATAGTTGGGATAGATAAACTTAGAAGTTGGCAGAATTCTCACATTCATTCCCTGACCTGTGGAGTGAGGGCTATTATGGCTAGAAAGGGTAACTGGATGCCTCTAGGGTTGTCTCAGCCCTAGGGAAAATAGTGAATCAAAAACAGTATCACATCCTGGGAGGAACTGCAAAAATTAGTGCCACCATCAAGGATTTGAAAGATGCAGGGTTGGTGGTTCCCACCACATCTCCATTTAACTCTCCTATCTGGCCAGTGCAGAAGACAGAGGGATTGTGGAGAATGATGGTTAACTATTGAAAACTTAAGTAGTCACTCTGACTGCAGCTGCTGTGCCAGATGTGATGTCCTTATTTGAGCAGAACAACATATCCCCTGGTACATAGTACATAGCTATTGATCTTGTAAATGCAAGTCAAGGAGGGGCCCAGGCTCCAACCCCAGAAAGTAGAACTTGGTATCTTGGGCAGGTGTTTCTGAATTTAGAGTCAAGAAGGATATAGAAAAGGGGTTGTGGAATCTTCCTCCACAGTTAAGGAAAGCCACTGAAGCAAGGTATTTAGTAGGATGGCCAGTACCTGCATGGAGGCACAAAAAGGCCAGTATGTGAAGCTGTGAAGGTGAAGCCTTGATTGCGTTGGAGACTCCAAGATGTCAGAGACACCAGAGCTGTAGAATACATTCCCAGGAGAGTCACTAACAGGGTGTAGAACCACCCCAAGAGAGAGAAGCATGTTACAGTCAACAAAGCTGAAAGAAGTTAGAGATTTGGAGAGCACTTTGATGTCAGACATGTTGATACATAATTTGAAAATTGCCTTGCTGGGTCTTGGTCTTGTTTTGGTACAGTATGTCCTCACTATGTTCCTTTTCCTCCTTTTTGGAAAATGAATGTATATCCTGTGTCATTGTCTGTTGGAAATATGTGATCTGCTTTCTGCTTTTGATTTTATAGGGGGTTACAGTTAAGACATTGCCTTGAGTCTCAGAAGAGACTTTGGATTCTAGATTTTTAAATAGTGTTGAGACTGTGTAAGATTATGGGGACTTTTCAAGTGGGACTAATTTTGCATATGATATGGTTACAAGCCTGTGGAGGCCAGGGAGTGGAATGTGGTGGTTTGGATTGAAATGACCCCCATAGACTCATTATATTTGCATACTAAGTCCCCAGTTGATGAACTATTTGTAAAGGATTAGGAGGTGTGGCCTTGTTGAAGGAAGTGTGTCACTGAGAGTGGACTTTGAGGTTTCAAAAGCCCATACAGGGTTCAGTCTCTCTCTCTCTCTCTCTCTCTCTCTCTCTCTCTCTCTCTGCCTGTTGTCTGTGAAACAGGATGTAAAGTTCTCAGCTACTGCCATAGCACCTTGTCTGTTTCCTGCCATAATGAAAATTGATTAACTCTCTAAAGCTGTAAGCAAGCCCCCAGTTAAATGCTTTCATGTATAACAGTTGCCTTGGTCATGATGTCTCTTTACAGCAATAAAATAGTTAGTAAGGCAGGCTGGAAGCTCTCAGGAAACAGGAGCTGATCAGTCACTTGGTGCAATACCTGAGATGTACACTCTTTCCTTATATTTTCCTTGGGATCACCTCCAGATATTTCATCCTGTTTCTCTCTCTCTCTCTCTCTCTCTCTCTCTCTCTCTCTCTCTCTCTCTCTCTCTCTCTTTCGACTTGTCCTCTAAAGTTAGTAGAGGTTGTGGCATTGGTTCCAGTAAGCAATAAGGAAATCCAGCTACCTTCCTCTTTACCATGAGAAAATACATTAAAGATTGCCTGAGTTCTGATGTGCTTACCTCTTTTCGGTGGCCTTCTCGTAGGCTTTGGGCAGAACTTTTTATGTGAGACTGCCTTTCTCACTTGCATCTCATTTCTCAGGATGGAAATATCTAGGTTAAGGATCCACAAAGGCACCAGAAGCCTGTACTGCTTGCTCCAGAATGTTCAGGGCCTGGCAAGAGGCCAGGGTGTCATGAAGCTTACATTCTTGGGTATTTGAAAGGGTGGGGATGATGAAGACTGCCCTCCATCCCAGGCTCCTGAAGTCAAGTGGGATATGCTTCCCCGCTAGAAACAAAGCAGGTGAGAAGATGGTCCAGGAGATGTGTGTTTGGGAGCCATCAATGTTGTCTGATAACTATAGGAAGAGGTGACAGTCAGTGTGGACCCTCAGATCTCTTCTAATCCTGCCTCCTGAGGTCACATGTAGCACTCTTTCTATAGGGTATTCAGTACTAGGTTTACGTGGGACAAATTACAACTTACATGCAAGTGGTCATCCACCAGAGGACAAAAAAATGGGGAGGTGTGAGCCCAGACTCTTCACTACCTCATTGCTTTTTCGGCCCCAGGACATACACACCACCACCACCACCACCACCACCACCACCACCACCACCACCACCACTACCACCACCTGTTGGTGAAGCAATGTGATTCAAATAAACTCTAGGACGCAGTTTCATGGTGTTCTTTGACCTCTTCTAGACCTTTCCCTGTTTTGACAAAGAAAATGTGAGCTTGTCCAAGTTGTTCCCTGTGGTTACACTGCCCCTCCCAATCTCACATAGAGGTCTTTATAGGCCTTTTGACCCATCCCATCCACAAAAACTACAATAAAACCTCCAAATCCCGCCAATAAAACAGCAACAACAAAAAAACCTAAAGCAAAGGAAAACAAAAATCTCAACAACAAAAACAAAACTGAGACCCCCGAATCCTAAGCCCCTCAAACAGAAAGCACTGCGAACCCAGTGAGGAAGCAAAACAGAGAGACCAATGTTGAGTTGGCTTTGGGCATGTGCGTAGGGCTGCTAATTGAGCTGTGGGCCTCACAGGGCTTCACAGGTCAAGGGCTACAGCTGTAAGTGGTGACTCTTAGTGCCCATCACAACGGACCCCCTGGGTTGTTGTTGGATGGCTTTGTGGTTTTTCGCCAGGGTCTCTCTGTGTGGTTCACATTGGCCCTAAATTCCTATCTCTTACCTTGAGAACTGGGATAAAAAGTGTGTTGCCATTATGTTCGGGTCTGCTGTGATATTTTTGGAGCAGGGAACAGAAGTCGTGGCACCCCTGGGCCTGTGGTTGGCGGGAGCAGAGCTCTGTGGACCCACAGCACTGGTGCAAACTATGGCCAGGGAAGGCTGCCTGCACATTTCAAAATCAGTGCATCCTCTTCTGGCCAATGCAATCATTAGGTTGCTCACCTCAGCAGCAGGGAATTGGGTTGCTCCGTACTTTGCCTGGCTGCTGTGGGCATGGAGCACTTTGATGCGTAGATGCCGTGTGCAGCAGAAAGCGATAGAAAGACAGACAGCTCTTGGCATGGCTGTCTGGACTGTCCCTGGAGATTTACAGCACTGGTGTCTGGCTGTTCTGCCCAGGGCCACAGGAGTAATATAGCCCAAGCTTGACATATAGGGTTTTTACAGCTGTCCCAGTGACCCCGGTGCCGCAAGTGTGGAAAAACAGCCATCAGACCATAACTGCTACCAATTGTGACGTGAGGAGCCCCTAGCCTGCCTCCCCACGCAAGGGCAATAACACCAGTCTGGGCCCGGTGCTCTCAAGGGCTGTCTTCGCTCCTCCAGCTCCCCCAAGGATCTCTTGCCCCTCCATTCATCCGCGGATTCCAAGATGCCTTGCTTCCCTGGCATCAGAAACCTGGAGACCCTCTCTGCAGTACTACACACCACAGTGTGAGGTATTCCCAGGTTTTATTTTAAGCTGGACAATGTTGCAGTCACAAGCCAGCAAGCCTGCCTCCAAGGCATAGTCGGCCTGGCTTTACTTTAATAGTGGATGAAGGATTTTCCTGCTGAACACTGGGACTTCCTGTCTGGATGGGTTGTCCTAAAACACAGATAAGCTTCCTTCAGGGGATCAAAGTCACTGGCCAGGTAATCTGTGTCAGGACGACTAAATTGAAAAGTTTCCCATGGCTGTTGCTGACTTCTACCAGCAAGGGGCACTGTCTGCCAGCGCAGATGAAGCAGACAGAGCAAGGTTTCTCCCTAGCTGGACTTCAGGAGACTTTCTTTGCTGCAAAGGGGTCTGCCTCCTCTTTATGTGGTGGAGAGGTTGGCAACTCTTAATGGATCACGACTCACTTCACAAACCTTTTGGTAATTATTTCAAATACAGCCCCCCTCCTGCTTAACAGAGCACATGTGTTCCCATGTATCCATAGGTTAGAGTTGTGTTAAGACTTCATTTGAGAAAGCTCACTAATAAAAAAGAAAGAAAGAAAGAAAGAAAGAAAGAAAGAAAGAAAGAAAGAAAGAAAGAAAGAAAGAAAGAAAGAAAGAAAGAAAGAAAGAAAAGAAAAGAAAGAAAGAAAACAAAAAATAAAAAGAGAAAGAAAAAATATCTTTCTGGCCTGTAAAGCAAATTTTAGATGTCTAGTTCAAATAACGTTTTAACGTGTTAAGATACCAGATTCTTCCAAGAATGGCTTGATGAAAGTGAGTTCTATGTAGTCTGCTTTCAAGGAAGCTCCAGGGCCTTTACTTACTAGATGGCAGACTTCTAAGAGTGCAGAGCACCCCAAGGTCTCTAGAGTGCTATCCTTAGGGATGGGGGAACACTGACATGGTCCCCGAGGTAGTCAGCAGCCTGTGGACAAGGTCCTGTCCCTGGCTTTGGAGGCCAGAAAGCACCATCCTTGATGGGGGCCTACCCACCGCAAACAAAGGGCTGCGGCTGGAACACACCTCCTCCTTATAGTCTTGGTCCACATAGTTATCTCACCAGTTACAGTGAGGAAGATCCCGGTGAGGTTTTACAACAGGTACCACTTGGATACCTTGCGTGACCAATACTGGCTCTGAACTTTTTTCCAGAACATGCATCTTCCCCCCTTTTTCCAATTAGCCAATTTTCTCTGATGGCCAAGTGATCAACTACTCCCTCGGGCCAACAGGAAAGACAATAAAATGACATCTACATGGGATTAACTATTAGTCAGTAGTCTGAAGGTAGGCTTGAAAGGGCCAGGCTAGAAAGTCACCTCTGTGGAGGCAAAAAGAATCTGACAGTCTACTAGCTGGAATGGAATCCTTTTGAAAATCATAGATTTGACTGGCCTTTCTTGGCCTTGCCCACTGTTAATATCTATAATCAAAGTATAATATAATATGAGCAAATTTGCTGAACATACATCATGTACTTCTATTTTGAGTCCTCTGCTTCTGGTATCCCAGATAAATTAACCCACAGCCTTAATGTCACTTTATTGTTTCTGTTGTATAGATGAGGAATTGGAGGCAGAGACATTAAATGCCTGGCACAAAGTCACCCAGCTAGAAAGGCGCAAAGGTGATAATTAAATCCAGAGTCCATGGCTGTAACACTAGGAATTCCCACTCAGGGTCTTTCAGCCACCTCTTTGTCAGGTGTAATGGGCAAAATGACTTCTGATGCAGAAACATCCTGTGCTTCAGGACTGTCCATATTTCAGAACAAAAGAATGTCCGACTCTATATGAGGATTTACATTTTCATTCAGCTGGTTGAAAGATTTAGAATATTCTCATTTCGCTATTGCCTCATGAGCTGCATAAGATGATAAACTAGAGTACAGAAAGAAAATATTGAACCTATTTATACTGGGTTTGTACTTCAAATTTTGGCTTTTGCACATATTTATAATGTACATATTTGCTCAGGAGTCCATGCATGTAATTTATTTTAAACACCCACAAACTCTAGGAAGGCAAATATCCAACCATTTTCTTTGTATTGCAGTGATGAGATTTTTCACTATTGCTTGCTTTATTTTCTATGTGTATTCCTGTGTAAGAATGCAAGAAATAGTCTGGGTGTTGTGGTACACACTGGGAATCCTAGCACATCAGAAATGGAGGTAGCAGGATCAAGAGTTTAAGGAGTCTCCTAAGGCTACAACAGTGTGCTCAAGGTCAGCCTGGACTGCAAGAGAACCTTTCCCAAGACGTCAATAAAGATGCCGGAGTCCTTTCTGAAGAATGTCTTTTGTTTAGAAAGCACTGCGATATATTCCTTTTGTATGGATGGACTTCTATGTACTGTGTTGTTTGGCTACGAGGGGCACATTTGTACTTTCTTCATGGGTTCAGTTTAGGACACACACATTTAACAAGGGCCCCTAAATCTCAATACTCTACTAGACATGTAAGATACAATTAATTGTGACTGTCGCCCTAGAGAGTGTCATGCTGTGGGTTGAATGAGTTGAGAAAGGTGATAGCATTGTGCATGTTACAAGGTGGGAGGGGGCTCTTAGCCTACACTGCTGGAGCACTCAGGGAAGCTTTCTAAAGGAGGAATTCTTTTGAACTCTACCCTGAGGGAGTGGCCAAACTAAGGAGGTGGGAAGGGGTGTTGGGAGGAGGGTGCTCATAAGTATGAGACATGTGCTGGAAGCGCCTAACCCTTCTGTGTTCCCTAAGTTTACACATGAGGGAAGCAGAGGGTTGTGAACACAAAACTGGGTTGGGGCCTGACCTCAGAATGCCTGCTCACACGTGAGACCACAGAGTATGGGTAGAGAGTCAACCACAACCACATGGTAAGAATTACCAATTACCAGAAGGATTCTGGTGCCAGTATAGAGGAATGAGGCAGGAAGAGTCAAGGCATTATCCTCATTCAGCTCTGAGGTCAATTTAGCAGTCTTGGCAAGGGATGGTATGGGCTGGGTCAAGAACAGTATGGAAGGAAGAAATTATAGACTGGAGGAGAACCGAAGAGTCTGGGTAAGGAAACCAGGAGCCTGTGGGGTGCAGATGAGAGAGAAATCAAGGCAAAGAGATCCATGTTTCCTCTCGGGCAACCAGGAAGAAGGTGGCAGAAGGAAACCAGTGTGTGAGTGCTGGATTTGGGAAGAGAAGGGCAGGAGCCTCTGCCGGGGTTCGCCTTAGGTGTGAAGAGTACGAAGCCCTACCCTGTGGAGACAGAAGGTTGGCAGGTGAGTGGGAGAGAAGTTAGAAGTGAGCGAACACAATGAAGACATTGAAGGTAGCTAGGAGAGTGTGTGAGGTCACCCGAAGGGAACATGCAGTACGAGAAGGACTATGGCTTGAGGACAGAGCCTACAATGGAAAGAGAAAAAGAAAATGGAGAAAAAGCTACAACATCAGCATCACATTTGAGGAAGGCAAAGGGATGAGAGGAGAGACATAGTCCGAAAGGTCCAGCCTGCCTGAGAGACAACCGTGGATCCCTAGGTAATTATTGTTGTTTTTAAAATTCAGTTGAAGCAGTGTTTAGGAGGGTGACATGTTAAAAATGAATGGGGAAAGAATAAGAAAAGAGAGGGAAAGAGAAAGTAAAGTGGGGAGAGAAAGGAAGAGGGAAGACGAAGATGGGGGGACTTTATTTAGTGAGCCACTGATCAGAACATCAAAACTTTGAAATTCATTTAATTGATTTTTAACTTTCATGTTCTCACCAAGGAAATAGTACAGATGAGCTATGAGTGAAATGTGTAAAGGACAGTGGTCCCTCCAGCTGGTGCCTGTGCGGACACCTTTCACCTGGATTCAGAACAGGCTCAAATTAGAAAGGGCAGACAGAGCCTGGGGCAGGGCCAATACCTTTGTAAGTAGAGAAGGGGCCGTGGTCAGCAATTCTTGAGGTTTACCCAGCTACCGTATGCTCTGGACGCCAAGATGAGGAGACAGAGCTCAGTCTTACTGTGTGGGCCTACTGTCAGGAAGCTTACTTACTACCGAAGGGGCAGACACTGGTTCAGTAAAAGGGGAAATGCTGTCCTTTGCCATGCCCACCTCAGAGAAGCCTGGGGGAAGAGGTCCTCAGCCTCAACAGACCTCCGGGATGCGGAGCTAAGAGGACGCACTCACAGGGGAACAAAAGGCCATTTCATGCTGTGGGTCAGTTTCTGGATAAGAGCCAGTTAGTTAGTGATGGCTGTCATGGAAGCTGGGAAGGGGCAAGATGTGCAAAGAGTTTAAAAAGAACACACACACACACACACACACACACACACACACACACACACGAAAAGAAATAAGAGAACAGAAACACTAGTGGGGAGTGGGTACTGGGGTCAGAGAGCCAGTACCACCTGGAGACAACAAACCCCACTTCTCTGTGCGGCCTGGAGGGTATCATGTCCTCCCAGCCCAGGCCTCGTCTCCAATGTCTGTAACAATGGCCGAATCAAAGAAAGCTTCCTTATGCCAAGACAGTTAATGCACTTTTGAAAAGATTCCCGTTGAAAACAGTTGCAATAAAAGGTCTCGGAGCTTAAAGAATTAGCCCTCCATTATCTAGCTCTCCCACTGCTTAGTGAGTAGCATTTCCCAGCCATACAAAGAAAATAGACTGTTCTCACCCACCGTCAAGTACCTCAGGAGTACCCATTCATTCAAGAATAGTTAATACCCTCTTTCCAAATAATGTTATCTCTGTGTTAATACAATTCCCCCGAGGACTTCTGCCAGGCAAGACCTTGTTAGCTGGTTTCCATCAGTACTTGAAATCATAAAGATGTGTTAAAAAAACATCGATTGCTAACAAGAAATTGTTAACCTTGTATGCTGGCCCTGGCAACCCAAGCACTGAATTTCTGAGCACATTTAAGTCATTTCAATGCCCTGCATTGCCATTGCAACTACCTACTAGACTGACAGCTGCCAGCGTCTTATAACTGCCCCGGGGAATCCTTGTTTGGTGGGGACAGTGCTTGACATCTGATTGTTCTTCTGGGTCCCAGACTAGCTACATTCAGGGGGAGGAAATGATCAGGAACCAGTTTTTCCCCCTAATTCTGAGCCTATAAGCTGATAGGACCCACATACCAAAAATGGTTCCTTTATCACTTTGTAAAAGACGAGACAACTAAGTAAAAGGTCATGTCCATGAGCCCTGATGGAGATGTTGTGGAGAAGCTGACATAAAACTTCAGTTTCAGGGCAAGTACAATGCCACCATCCCGAGGGAATTCTGCCCAACCATATGTGCAGCCCATACAGGACAAAGAGCAGCCTGGCTGCTGCTCCATAATTGCTTTAATGCAGTGTTCTTCGGCATGAAGTTTTGTTTCCATCGGGGAACCTGTGGCGAAATGCAATTTAAATCCCGATAGACCCATAGTAGCTGAAATCCTGTGAAGGTCTGTTTGGGGCAAACCACCTGGGCAAGATGATTCCAGATTCCAAGAAATGAGGTACAGGAGAGGATTACAAAGTAAAGTTCATGTGTGTGGAATCTGAAGAGAACTGGGAAAATAGCTAATTAAAGATTGTGGGACCTCTGGAAAGGAAGGCTGTGTAACCTGTTTGTAACTGACCAAACCCTGAGAGGAGCTATGCAGTTCCAGGAGGCTTTGCTGACATCCAGAATCAGTTCCCAACTGCTGTCCGGTGTTCTTTTATTGATTTTTTAAATGATACTTTTATTGAGATATAATTCACATACCCATTTTCACATTTTACCCATTTAGAAGTGTACAATTCAAAGATTTTAAAAGTATTTTCACAGAGCCTTACAAGCATCACCACAATCAACTTCAGAACATTTCATCACCTACATGGATGGAGTTCTTGACACTACATTGTAGTTGGCGGAATTGGGTAATGGCAATCTGGATGGTATTATAAGGTGGGAACTCTAAAGGAAGGGCAGGACATGGGACTCTTGTATCTAAGAGGGAAACGCTACAAAGTTATCTGGTGCTTAAAGATCTACAAAAAATAGCATGGAGTGGGGGATGAGATTTGGCTTTTGTTCCCATTAATGACAAACCGCTGGTCTGGATTGCAGCAAGAAGGACTTAGGTAAAAGACGGGGAAATTAAAACAAGCGGCTTCCTGGCAATGTTTGTGAGTTCCTGGGTTACACTGTCATACAGGGTGAGTTTTGAAACATGTGTGGCTCAAGCGGGGAGTAAAATAATACGGTTTTCCGTGAGGATTGCCGTCGTCTGCTCTTTCTGTCAAGTGGAGTGCCCCTGCTGAGCCTTTGCTGGGGAGAAGCTTCTTTTTATAACATGGTGGGGTGAGGGATAACCTTTTGGGTAGGGAAACGGTTATAGCAAGTAATCGTTTCCTGTCTAGATCAGCCTCATGGTAGGAAACCAGGAAAGAAGAGTGGGACGTCAGAGAACACAGCTCCATATCCATCTTCCTGACCCGTTGAGTACATTTCTTCAGTAAGGGTGTTTTGCCATTTCACTATGGCTCAGGTGTCAGACAGTGTCCAGAAAAAGGGGAGGTTCTAGATGAGGTGACTTGGAAATATCTAGAGAGCTTTTAGTTATCTTGTGGGAAGAATAAAAAAAACCCACTGCTGCATATCCTCCTGCCTTCTCAACAACAGAGAGATATCAAGCCCTGACTGTTGGCAGTGCTGAGGTTGAGAAAGCTTGAAATGAGAGTCAATGTCTGCTCCCTAGAACTTCAGTCTGCCCATTGTGGCATTTCTTCATACTCCCTGAAATGTGTCTGAGAGAAAAACTAAAGACTGTATTTGAAGTCACCATAAAGAAAACCTCATAAAGTTATTAATGTGGAAAAGATATGTTACGTTCTTATTAATTGCCTGGCCTAGTAAATCTTAGCTTTGCAAAGGAACAGAAGAGGGACTGTTATCCAGTGACCTTCACTATCCTCGTCAGTAGAGGGAGCCTGGTTTTGTCTGCACGGACATAGAGAATAGGACTGAGTGAGAAATAGCCTAATTGTTGAGTTAATATGGTAATCCTCAGCAGTTCATCACCTTTACCTTGGAATTACTCATAATCTTAACAGCACATAACTAATATCTCACTTGGCTTAAAAATCCCCAGGTCTATAACAATGGCAGGTGGATTATTTGCAGTGTTTGAGAATGAAATCAAATCCACCAATATGTTCATTAACAAAATGACAGATTTATTGGGATAGTACCCTAAGGGCTCCCAACACACCCTGCTTTGTCTCACTGGTGCGGGAGGTCAGTTATTTGACCTGGTGGAAGAGAGTGTTGTGGAAAACTGCCTT